GATGTCTCTGGCGGTAGCTTCAATTTTGAGAACCAACGCTGTAAAACGACTCCTCCAACATCTTTACTTTGTGAGGATGTGTCAAGCGTAACGCATCCCCACGCCATTCTGGATACCCGACGCCCGATCTCTCAACATCTTCATTGTTCTGCGGATGGCTCAGGCGAGAGCCTCACGTTTGAGAATTCGTGTCGTAAGACCACCTTTCCAACAATGCCTTGTTGCGAGGATTTCTCAAGCGAACCGCTCCTCCACGCCATGTCTGATGTCCGACGCCCGATCTCCAACATCACAATTTTCTGAGGATGTCTCAGGCGAGCGCTTCATGTTTGAAAATTCGCGTCGTAAGACAACTCTTCCAACAACGCCATTTGCGAGGATGTCTCAAGCGGAATGCTCCTCCACACCATGTGTGATATCCGACGCCCGATCTCCAACATCTCATTTTTCTGAGGATGTCGCAGGCGAGAGCCTCAAGTTTGAAAACTCGCTTCGTACGACAATTCTTTTCAACAACGGCACTTTGTGAGGATGTCTCAAGCGAAATGCTCCTCCATACCAAGTTGGATATCCGACGCCCGATCTCCAACATCTTCATTGTTCTGCGGATGGCTCAGGAGAAAGCCTCATGCTTGATCATTCGCGTCGTAAGATAATGCTTTCAACAACGCCATTGTGTGAGGATGTCTGCAACGAAACGCTCCTCCACGCCATCTTGAATGTCCGACGTCCGATCTCCAACATGTTCATTTTTCTGAGGATGTCTCAGGCGACAATTTCCTGTTGATGTCATTGTAAGGTCTTTCCGTTTGACAGTGGCAGTGTGGAAGGTGTTGCTGGGGTCGCACCCTGTGATGGGTGAAGCCGGGGACCGAGAGGCTGCTGACAGGACAAACGGGAATCCGCCATATTGGGAGGATGTCTCAGGCGATGCGCTCCTCCACGTCATAATGGATATCCGACGCCCGATCTGCAACATTTCATTTTTGAGGATGTTTCAGGCGAAAGCTTTAATTTGAAGAACCAGCGCCGTAAGACAAATCCCCTAACATCCTCTTTATTGTGAGGATGTCTCAGGCGAAACGCTCCTCCACACCATGATGGATATCCGGCGCCCGATCTCCGACATCTCATTTCTCCGAGGATGTCTCAGGCGAAAGCTTTCGTTCTGAGGATCAACGTCGTAAGCGAGCTCCTACAACATCCCCATTTTGTCAGGATGTTTTAGGCGAAACGCTTGTCCAGACCATGTCGGATAACCGACGCCCAATCTCCAGCATCTCAATTTTCCGATGACTTCTCCGGCGAAAGCTTTCTTTTTGAGGATCGAGGTCGTGCAACAACTCCGCCAACATCCCCATATTGTGAGGATGCCTCAGGCGATGCGCTCCTCCACACCATGGTGGGTATCCGACGCCCAATCTCCAACATATCATGTTTCTGAGGATGTCGCAGGCGAAAGTTTTCTGTTTGAGAAGCAGCGCCGTAAGACAACTTCTCCAACATCCCCATCTTCTGAGGATGTCTCAGGCGAAACGCTCCTCCACGCCATGTTGGATATCCGACGCCCGATCTCCAACATCTAATCTTTCTGAGGATGTCGCAGGCGAACGCTTCATTCCTGAGCATCAACGTTAGAAGACAACTCTTCCAACAACGCCTTGTTGCGAGGATGTCTCAAGCGAAACGCTCCTCCACGCCATGCCTGGTATCCGACGCCCGATCTCCGACATCTCAATTTTCTGAGGATGTCTCAGGCGAACGCTTCATGTTTGAGAATTCGCGTCGTAAGGCAACTCTTCCAACAACGCCTTGTTGCGAGGCTGTCTCAAGCGAAACGCTTCTCCACACCATGTTGGATATCCGACGCCCGATCTGCAACATCTCATTTTTCTGAGGATGTCTCACGCGAAAGCTTGTTTTTTGAGAACCAGCGCCGTAAGCTACATCCTCAGTTTGTGGTCAGGTCAGGATGGCCTTGCTGGGGTCGCCCCCGGTGCCGGGGGGATGTGGGGGTCACGAGGCCGGTAACAGAACAAACGAGAACCCGCCATATCATCAAACATCATCACATGTGAGATCATGTCATGCCATGTCGCGCCATACTATACCATAGCATACCGTGTGACCTCATATCATGATACATTATGAAACACGGCCAAAGCATATCATTTCATACCATAACATTGCATTCCATAACATAGCATGCACTACCATGCCATGAGGAGAAGGGTGAAGGAGAATGAGTCGGCGCGGTCGGAGTAAGTATTCGCTGCGTGGCGCTCCAACGCTGTGCATTTATTAGCATGGGCCTGTCGGCCGTGAGCTTCTAGGCGCAACAGGTTTCGGATATAAGCGGGCGTGAGTATTGCCGGTGTGGGCGTGGATCGAATTGTGAACGGATTGGAATGTGAATGAGTCTCAACAGTATTAGTGCGTCTCTGCGCATGGGCCTGGGGCCTTCTGGGGGCTCTTGGGACTCGTACTTCCTGGAGCCTCTTGGGGCTTTCTGTGGCCTCTTGAAGTCTCCTGGGGCCTCGTGTGGCCTCCTGGGGCCTCCAGGAGCATCGTGGAGCCTACTGGGGCCTCCTGGTGAGGACTCGTGCCCCATGGGAGGCCCAATACATAGGAATATACGTAAACCACTTCGGATTGGAGCCGCAGGACAGGGGACATCTCCAGGAACACACGTAACAAACCAAGGACTCGTGCCCCAGGGGAGGCCCAATCTATAGGAGCATACGTACAGTACTTAGGAGTGGATACGCAGGAGAATGACAATATACATACACATGAGGTAGCACACCAAGGGTTTGTGCTCCCGGGGAGGCACAATCTATAGGAACACGTATGAAACACGTTGGATTGTAGCCACTCCTGTGGCCTTCTGATGCCTCCTGCTCCTGGGGCCTCGTGGGGGTTCCTGGGACCTTCCCAGGGCCTCCTGGTGCCTCCTGGCGCTTCGTGCTGCCTCCTGTTGCCTCCTTGGGCCTCCTGGTGCTTCCTGGGTCTCCTCTTGGGGCCTCCGGCCTCCTGGAGCCTCCTGTGGCCTCCTGTGGCCTCATGTGGCACCCTGATGCCTCCTGGTACCTCCTGTGGCCTCCTGGAGCCTCCTGCAGCCTGCTGGAGCCTCCTCTGGCATCCTGAAAAGGATCCGTTCCTATGAGTCTGGCCAGCAAAATAAGCAAGCCGCTGGAGACATCCTCAACATCTGCCCCCCCCCCCCATTGGGGGCGAGCATGAGCGCTTCGCTCGAGACATCCTTCAAATCAAATCTGCTCCGACTGCGGAGGATGCTGAGCTGGGAAGCAAGCAAACCGCTCGAGACATCCCCACCATTTTGGCGCGAACGGAAGAGTGATATACACCCTGGCGGTTCCCCCCTGGGGGTGCTGAAACCCGCGCCTCGCTCGAGACATCCTCCAAATCTGATCCGAAAGCGGAGGATGTTGGGTCTTGAAACAGGCAACATGTTCGAGACATCCCAGCTGGAGTGAGATACATTTTGGCGGTTCCCCCTTGGGAGTGCTGAAACCGGCGCCTCGCTCGAGATATCCTCAGATTCTGCTCCGCCATCATCATCATCATCATCATCATCATCATCATCATCATCATCATCATCATCATCTCATCATCATCATCATCATCACCACCACCACCACCATCATCATCATCAGCAGCATCGTCAGCATCATCATTAGCAGCATCAACAGCAGCATCACCATCACCAGCATCATCACCATCATCAACAACATCAGCATCATCATCGCAATCATCATCACCATCATCACTTTCGCCATCACCACCGTCAGCGTCACCATCATCATCAGCGTCATCATCATCACCATCATCATCATCAGCAGCATTATCATCATCGCAGTGGAACGTACCGCATATTACCATTGTATGGCATATCATGCCATAACATGCCATGTTGTAACATACCATCCCCTTGAATACCATGACGTAGCAGACACGCCACACCATCACATGACATGCCATACCATGGCATATTGTAACATTGAATACCAGAACGCATGGTGGCATGTCATGACATACCAGACCAACCAATAACATATGTACCACAACACATTATAATATATTATCACGTATAAAACCATATCATAACATACCATGAGGCGGAGGAGGAAGGATACTGATCCGGCGCGGTCGGAGTAACATCGATAACCTCATCTTTCTGGAATGGGGAATAACAATAACCCCATCTTTTGGATATGGGGAATAGCAAGAACCGCATCCGCTGGACATGGGGAACAGGAACCCCATCCTTTGGATCTGAGGGGCAGTACCCTCCTCCTTCCCCCCTTCTCCGTATCATGATTCTTAGTCTTACCATAGTTATTATTGTCAGTATTGTCAGTGGTATACTGATGATACGTAAGAGCACAACTATTATTATGATTAGCATTCCTATTGCCAGTCTTCCTTAGTTTGTGTACTACATGTAGTATTACCTTGCTTAGTATCATTATGTGTATTATTAGTATTATCGAATTCTAAGTATTGCTAGTCTTATGTCTTATTGTTGGTATTCGTATTACTACCGTTGTGATTGTTCGTATTGTTCTTCATCGTCCCGTTCTTCTCGCCGTCACCTCTCATTCATACATACATGCTGCTGCTGCTCCTCCTCCGTTCCCTTCGCATTCCCATCCTCATTCGGCGGCGAGCCCAGAGGGGGAAGGGAGAGGGGGCAGACCTTCTCAGAGGGCGGCGGGACTTCTCCCCAGCCCTCTGGCCTTCTGATAAGCGGTCTCTGTCTTCGGGGAAGGCAGGCTTAGCCAGCTTCTCGGAGGCGGCGAGGGCTTCCGAGAAGCCCCGCCGCCTTCTGAGAAGGCCTGCCCCCTCGAACTCCCCCCCTGTGCTCGACGCCGACTCCCCTTTCTTCAGAGCGCCCTCCTCCCCTGCTCTCCCCGTCGCCCCTCGTCCCCTCCCAGGCCCGCGCCCTGGGGCGCGCGCACGCCCAGCGGCACTACGAGATGTCGGCCGAGCAGGGGAACGCCTTGTCCGAGCTGCGCCTCGGCGCCCCTCCCTGTCCCTCTCCTTCCTGGGGCCCCTCCGGCTAGTGCTCCTGTCCTCCCTCCCCTATACTATTCCCCCCCCACACACCTTATCCTCCCTGGACACACACACATGAGGCACTCCATGAAGGGCCTCGCGATCGAAAGAGTTGGCATCCCTTCCTCGGCGGAAGGGCGGCGGGGTTGCGGCGGAGAAGCCTGCGGAACTAAGACGAGAGCGGCTCCGCAGAGGGGGAGGCGGCGGAAGGCTGGCGGCAGCCGGCGGCAGCAAAAGATGTGACCCTAAGGGATGGCCAGGTTTTTGGGCTCAGGATTTCCGGGATGTAGCCGCGCCGTTTGTGCCGACGCGCGGTCTTGCCTCTTGGGGAGGGCGTCGCGGCCACCAGGGCAAGTGCCGCCTCTGGCGCGGTCGGCTCGCCGTGGGGTCCGCCGCGGTGCCGGCTGTGTCTCCTTGTGGCGAGGGACGCAGGGTTTGCCGTGGGTTTGCTGTGGTGTCGGCGTCGTCCACTGGGGCGCGTTGAGGACAAACGGCGCGGCGACATATGGCGAAGCATATTCCAGTGTGGCCAAACATAGAGATGGTGACCGCGACATGACACCATCCCTGTACTCTTCCAGGGTCCACGGCTCTCTTCTCATCCCACCCGAGTCTGCGCGGCTCTCCCCGCAGTGCAATTTTCAGCCAGGTGGGCGCTCGCTCGCTCGCTCGCTCCCTCTTGCCCTTTCTGCCCTCCTCTTCCTCGTGGGCGGCGGGCGTGCCCACTCTTGCGGCCGCGCGGTCCGGACTGCCCGGCCGCACCCAGGGCGTGATGGAACAGACCGTCATGGCTCCGCGGATCCCGGCTCCCGGTCCGCCGCCGCCGCCTCGGCGTGGCGCGTGGAGGGCTCGCTCCCCTCGTTCGCGCCGCCCTCTCAGCTCAGAGCGTGAAATACCTACCCCGCTTTCGCTTCCAGGCAAAACCAAGTCATACCACGCGCCTCCTCGTCAAGCGGCCTGACCAGTACAGGCTGCAATTTGGCATCGTTTGGTATCTCTTGGAAGCGAGGGTGGTCAAAAGCGAGGTAGGTTTGTTTTCCCCATACGCTCGGCCGCTCGGCCTCCCGCCCGCACGCGGGCGCCGCTGGGCGGCCTGGGGCGCGGCCCGCGGGAGATCGGAGACGTCTGCCGCAGGGCGCGCCAGGAGGGCCTTCCCTGGCTCCTCGCCACGGCGGTGGTGCTGATGTCTTCTCCTCTGCCCCCGCCCTCCTCGCACCCCAGGAGGAGCTCTCTCAGAGCTTCCGCGTCTCACGTCCTCCTCCTCCGCCTCCTCCCGTTCCTCCTCCTCCGCCCCATGACGCCTCGCTGGGCGGCCGCGGGGCCTTTGCGTGCCCCGCCCGCGGGAGTGGCCCGTGAGGAGGCTGCCTGCTGAGGCCTTCCAGATCCAATTTTCTGTTGTGCGCGAGTTGTAGGGTCGGACCGAGGTATGAGATCGAGGGCCGTTTGGGGAGGTAACCCTCATGTTCTTCGTGCTTGTTGGACGTTCGCGCGCATCCTCGGGAGGGTACCCTCGGATGTTCTGTTTGTTTGGGCCGACGGAGGGTTCTTAAGGAGTGTTCTGCCAAGGCCCGACTGTAATTAGGACTCTCATGGATCCCATGGTTATTGCTTGCGTGCTCCTCCGCCCTCCCGCCTCGCCGCCCTGTGCCCCCCCAGCCTGCCCATCGCCCTCCCCTTCTTCACCGCCCTCCAGCCATTTCCGCCCTGCGCCCTCCTCCTCCGCCCTCCATCGCCGTCTGCCCCTGACCTTGCCTGTCCCACCTCGGCCATGCGCAGATGGGGGTACAGTCGAACCGAGGTACAAGATCGAGGCCGCTTCGGAGAGGGTACCCTAATGCTCATCCTGTTTGTTGGCTGTTCCTGTGCATCCTGGAGAGGTTACGCTTAGATGTCCTGTGTGTGTTTGGCCCACGGAGGGTCTAATGTTCTCGAGGGATGCTCTTCTGGCTTAGGTCCAGCTTTAGGGGGCGGGGGATGGTTTCTTAGAAGGAGGTTGCTTCTCAGAAGGTGCGGGCCTCATCTACAGATGCAAGGCCGGCGCCTTCCGAGAAACGGCCTCCTCCTAGGAGCGTATCTTTTCTTGCTCGTGCCATAACGCGGGTTATGGCCCCCCCGCCCCCCCCCCCATGGCGTGACGCTCCATCCCCCAGTGCGCCCCATGGCACTGCCGCCGCCGTGCGCCGTGCGCATAGAGATTCGCATAGGAACCCGAATCGGGGTCCGCGTAGGCGTCCGCACAGAAGTCCGCATAGGGACCCGCACGAGGATCGCATAGAGGTATCCATCGGGATCCGCATGGAGATCCGCATTGAGATTCTCAGGGATCTTTGATAGAGATCCGCGCGTTGATCTTCATAGGGATCCATAGGGATCCTCGTGGGCATCCGCATAGGGATCCGCAAAGGGATTCGCATGGCAATTCGCATAGGCATCCGCATGGGAATCCACAGGGATCCGCACAGGCATCCGCATAGGGATCCACATCGGGATGCGCATAGGGATCCCCGGAGGGGTCCTCATAGGGATCCGCACAGGGGTCCGCAAAGGGGCGGTGGTCGCGGGCAAGTTGCGGTGCCCTTAGGCACTTGTGGTGTTCGTAGGAGAGAGCAGTAGGAGGAGAAGGACGACGATGATGACGACGATGGAGGAGGGAGGTAAGGAGCAAATCTCTTATACGCCACGCGGAGACAACGACGCCTTCGCAGGCATGTGCTCGCCACAACTCCTCGTCGCTCTTCGTTGTCGGTCGTAGTCGTCGTCGTCGCTCGTCGTTCGTCGTCGTCGTCGTAGTCGTCGTCGCTCGTCGCTCGTCGTTGTCGTGCGTGCGGACGCTGTGGTGGCGCCAGAACCGCACGGCGGGGGGGGCGTTATGTTATGCCCCCCCGCCCCCCCCCATAACGCCCGTTATCGCCGCGAGTAAAGAAACGCGCTCTAAGAACCCTTCCCCGCAGCCCCTACACCCTTGTGCGCGCCGGCAGCCTTCTGTGTCTCCGTTCCGCATTCGTCGTGAAGCTCATGGCGTACGTGTTCATGGGCGTCCTCTCGGTCTCTGCCGTCGTGCGCGCGTTCGGCCTGGTGTTCTAACGGGGAAGTTTGAATTTTGCGACGCTTCGCGTCTGTTCTGATTCCGATTCCCTTGTCGCGCTCCTTCCCCCCCGCCCCGTCCCCCTCTCCGCTTCTCCCCGTCTGCCCTCCCACAGGCGGAGAGGCCGAGGCAGGGGGGCGGGCGATGAGGAAGGTAAGGAGGTTCGTTGCTGAGGAGGTGCAAGGTGCCAGGAAATGTGGTGACAAATCCTCTCGAAGGTGACCCATCCACCCCCCCCCATCGACCCCCCTGCCCAAGGGCTCCAGACCAGGTCAGCAGCTTAGGCCCGAACTTCGACAAATCTTGGCCTTGGTTACGAATCGGGTGAGATGTGTGCCGAAATCGGTGGGGCGGACGCATGCGGGCTGCGCCACTGGGATCTTCGGTGGAGTCCCCATACGGGGCCACGAAGCGCGTGAGGGGTGTGCCGAACTGGGTGGGGCGGAATCGCAAAAACCAGTTCTCAAGGCTTGTCTGTTTTGTCTATCCACGCCGTCGTATGGTGCGCCATTGGTTAACAATCGCGCATTTCCCGTAGGACTGTACACGCCCACACACGCCACCACACCGCCACCAACATTAACACACCACCACCACGACACCACGACCACCACCACACACACACACCGTAGACACAAACACACACACAGACACATTCACACATACACACACACGCACACACACACACTCACACGCACACGCACACGCACACTCACACGCACACGCACACGCACACGCACACGCCCACGCCCACGCCCACGCACACGCACACGCACACGCACACGCATACGCACACGCACACGCACACGCACACGCCCACGCACACATGCACGCACACGCACACGCACACGCACACGCCCACGCGCTTGCCCACGCACACGTCCACGCACACGCACACTCACACGCACACTCACACGCACACGCACCCGCCCACGCCCACGCACACGCACACCCACAGGCACGCACACGCACACGCACTGGCACACACACACACACACACACGCGCACACGCACTCGCACACGCACACGCACACGCACACGCACACGCACACGCACACGCACACGCACACGCACACACACTCACAGACACACACACACACCACACACACACACCACACACACACACCACCGCCACCACCACCACCACCACCGCCACCACGTCCACCACCACAACGACTAGTAACACCCACCCGCCCCGCCACCACCACACCAATACTGGTGCTTGTGTGTGTGTGTTTGTGTGGGACTGCGTGTGTGCGCGTCATTGTAGCGCGTAGGTTCACCCGCCTTCTCTGTTCTAGTGCTTCCCACTAGACGATTCCCGACTCATTAGGTTATCCTTTCTCGGCTTGCCTTTGTACCCGTTTTGGTTCAAAATTGGCACCATTCCGGCATGTTTCATTGCTTAACAACGTTTCTGTATTGACTACGCATGGTGGTTCATGGATCCTCTAGGTTACGCTGTCAGCATTAGAAACTCAATCGTTGATACGAGAGTTTCATACCTTCAATCAAGAAGGCCGAGGATTGAGCGGTCACATCGAATTCCGTTGGGCGTTGTCGGGCAGTTATTTCTTTCGCCCCAAGTAGAAGCCGGAGGGTGCGATCGCCAGGTTTTGAAACCGGAGCGAGTCGTTCCTGCGGTCTGTGTTGATGCCCGCGCGAGGTGGGCCTTTTTTTTCACGAGCACGACGACCCACCGAGGACGGAGGAGTTCACGGTTGGACACTGGGCAACTCTCTTGGAGGGCTGCGAGCGCGCGTTCAGCGAGAACCCAGACCACATGCACATGGTAAAGATGATGTAGGAGGTGGTCGCCCGTGCGAGGGTGTATGTTCGGCGAATTCCAGCGCGCGCAAGGAGCTTCATTGCCAAGCTGGGCAATGCTGAGGCCAACCTGGTGACCCGCACCACCCCGATCGAGATGCGGCAGTGCACCGATCGCACCGTCGCGAAGCTCGAGGCACACGAGGACATGCATAATATCACAGTCAAGTCGATGGGCACGCAGACCCTCTACGAGGACGAGCAGTTCAAAATCGCCAACACCATCTACCTTGGACGATGGGGGACATCCAAGAACTACTACACCAAATGTGCAGCATTCCGTAGGGAGGCGCGGAAGGTCGAGGTCACGTCGGGCCCTTACACACGCGACTCCCTGTGGGGCGCGATCGAGGAGGCGTACCAGGAGTTCGGTGAATTCACCAACATGGACCCGAAGTTGCTGAAGAATGTTGTCCCGTCGGCCGATGCCCTGCTCAAGGTCAGACTTCCAACGCAGACGGGTCGCACGAGCCCACCCTTTTCGTACCACGTGCCTTCCTACACCACATTTTCTTCGGCCAGAAAACTGATTGGGTGTTTTTTGTTTCGCCGGTGTGTGTGCCCGTTCCTTGGCCGGCCTGGGCCCTGGGAAGTTGGTGGTGGGTGGTCCGTGTTAGACGTCGTCATCGTTGGATGGCTCAAGGTTTTGACGGGCGCTCCCAGGGTGCAAGAGATCTCGTCGACAGTATCCTGATGATGGCCCCCAATTCGGGCGTGCTCGGCAAAAGCCCTCTCCACCCGAATGGAGGGGCCTTCTTGACATGACTTTGACCGACCAGCACGTTCGCGAGCTGCTCAAGACCCATGGAGAACAACGGTTTTCGAGAAGCTGAAGGAGGGCAGCAAACTGAGCAAACATATGCAGACTGCGCTGCTCAAGAAGCATATCAATCCGATATGAATCAGAAGGGGCATTAGGAGAGGCATCTGGCCAAGGAGGCCGCCGACATGGCCCAGGTGAAACCGAGCTCTCGCGCAAAGGGCACTCCCGACATGCAGAAGGCCTTTAAGGACAAGTTCGCGTAGAGGATGCAGGCCAATGCCAAGCGGGACGCATCGGGCTCCACGGTGGCCATCCCCATCGATGACGAGGGTGGCCTGATATCAGCCAAGAGGACGGGCGACGACGGCGAGGTGGAGCAGCTGAAAATCACCGATAAGGACGAGACGAGGCCAGAGTTCATGCACGAGACCGAGGCTCTGTCCACACAGTGGGGAGGGGGCAAGAGGCCACCGTGCCCTGTGTGTTTCCGAAGTGATTTGTTTATGCGACCTCCGTTTCAAGTTTGGTCATGCCCCATGGCCACACTTGAAGCGGAGGTCACATGGCCATGTCACGCGGCCCATGTGCGACCATAGCTTTTTCCTCTCTGCGGCGGGCCAGAAGGTGCACCTGACCTGGCTGGGCGAGCGCCGGGCCTTCAAGGCCAGGTCCCTGAAGCTCGCCACCCTCAAGGCATGCTTCGCGGGGGGCTGCTCCGTCATGCTCAATGGGCTTCCCCGCGTGCTCGCAGGCCGGTTTGCATTGCGACCGCTATTCCGCCACCGCGCATGCAGGAGCGCCCAGCTCGCGCCGCGCCCCAGCGAGGAGGCTTGGAATGCATCGCTGCGCGCCGACGTGCAGAGGGAGATCCAAGAGGGCCCCCTCGGGGGCGCTGCTGGCTTCGGCACCTAGGCGCGCGCCGACCGCGCAGCTACCATCGATGAGTTGGTTTGGCTTCCTCCGAGCTTCGGAGGCCGAGGAGGCCGTCGCAGCCATGGGGACTTTCTTCAATAATCACAACGCCAGCATGCCGGCATCGACGCAGCTCCTCCCGGCTCGCCTAGCCAACGAGGTGCTGATGACGGCGATGGAGTACTCGACCAGCGTTGCCATGAAGGAGCCCAATAAGGAGAAGCAGATGTCAGTGCTCGCGTCCACTGGCGCTGCAGAGTCTGTTGCCGCGGAGGCCCCCATCGAAGGGGCCGCGCTGCATGGCCCTGGACTCGGCAGAGCAGCGCGGGCTCATTCAGAAGCTGCCCCGAGACGTCGCGGATACGATCGCAGACATCGCCGATGCGAGCACGAGCTTCTTGAGGGCCATCAGGGCCCAGCTCTTCTTCCACATCCTCAAGGGCATCGGTGCCAGGACCTGCGTTTCTACCAATGTGAAGACGTCCGCTCCTGCTGATCAGAAGGCGGCGAAGTCGGCAAGGTTGCCTGACCGACTGATGCACTGCCGGAGGGTCGCGCAGGAGCTGCTGGGGCCCCGCCGCATTGCGAACCTCGGCGAGGGCGCATTCGCAGAGAAGCCCCCCTCCCCCAGCTTGTTACTGGCACGTCTGCGGATAGGGGGAGCGAACGGCCTTGCGTTTGTGGAGGCAGCTGGTAAATGGATGTCGGAGCTCGTCGATGCGGATGCGTTTATTTGCGCCAGTGGAGGGCAATCCTGCGCAGAGACAGAGACGGCGTTCTTCGACGAGATCAAGGGCCTCGGCAGAATCGTCGAAGAAGCGCCCGCTGGCGAGCGTGGGCATCGCGATTAAGACGGCCATCGCCCGACGACTCAGCCCTTCCAGTCCAATCGCAAAGCCGCCGTGGAGGAGATCGAGGCCGCGCGCGACCACATTCACCAGGCCGACCGAGGCAGAGGCGGCCCTCCTCTTCGCGAAGACATCGAAGCTCGCACCCCAGCGACCTGCGGAGAAGCATGGGGGGCCGCCTCCAGTGAGGGGCCCACCGGTGGCCGAGGCGAAGAAGGAGGGCGGCGCCGCCGTGGCCGAGGTGACGACGAAGGACCGAGTGATGATCGCAGTCGGCAGCTGGCGGGGGGGACATGTTGACGCAGGAGGGCATCGTGGCCTCGGCGCAGCTGAAGATTCCGGCAGCGACGGTGCACCATGTGGCCGCCTACGGCGCCAGCCAGGCAGTCAACGGCGTCTGCGCCAAGCAGCGCGAGCCCGCCTCGTCGACGGCGAGATCGAGCCAGGCGAACAAGCAGATCGAGATCGAGGTGCGCAGGATGGAGTTGGCCAGCAAGAGCGACAGGAATGACGTCAGCATCCCCTTTTGGGGCAGGGTGATCTGCGAGAGTGACGCGCTGTCGCTCAACAAGGCTTTGGGCTCGCCGGCCGGTGATAATAACGGAGCTGGCCCGAAGCTGTACATCGATGGTCTTGCGAATACTTTTCGGAGGAGTGATGGGCGCCTCGCTTGGGCGATCGCGCCGTTGCCCGTCAAGGAGTGCAGCGCGAAGGCGGAGCAGCAGGCCGACGACGGCAAGCACCCCAACAAGAAACATGTCGCGAAGACGGAAGCAGTTGCCACCCAAATCATTGACTAAATGGATCTGCGCTTCGCGATCATCGCCTAGACGTGCAGGTACTCGCTGCCTTTTTCGAAGGACAGCCTGGACCACGTTGATTTCTTCGGCAAGTGCTTCAAGGCCACCGCGCCGTGGGACATGGGCGAAGTTGTGAAGAGGGAGGGCCAGTCGCGAGAAGTGAAGACCTTCCTCAGCAGTTAAGCGGCTGGCTGCAGCATCGTGGGATCAGGCTAGGGGGCTAGGGTGGCCCGAGCCTGCCGACCATCAGGAGTCGGGTTGGATTTATTTGCCGACTCTCAGGAATCGGGTTTGACCGAACACATTCCTGGTCATGTTGGTGCTCCTCATCGTCTGTCAGGTGCGGCTGCTGGTGCTGATGCACCTCCTCTTCCACCTTCCTTCGCACCCTCCTTCTGCGTTCCTCTTCCTTCTCCCCTCCCATCCACCTCTAACTCTTGCTCCTTCCCCCTCGTCTTCCTTCCCCTCCTACTCCTCCCCACGCGGAAGAGAATGAGGCTCCTTTGCGGTGCGTTCGTTTTCTTGAGAAGATGGATTCGTTCGTTTGTAAATCAGGGCTGTCGCCGTTCGCCGACTAAAAAAGGCTCCCGCCTGTATTGTGCGATCTTAGGTGCAGGACCCCCTTCGGGCATCACAGGGCCCAGCTGCCCTTACTGTAAGTCAAAGAACAGACTCTCTGTTTTCAGGGGGCGCAGATATCTTTAGAGTTGGGCCCCACAACATGTGCAACCGAATGCCGCAGCTCAGGTTTGCAAAGAGAGAGCACAGTTGGATATCCGCCAAAACTTTGCCAGCATTTGAACTTGCAGTACCACACCAAATCACAGCGGACGGGTGCTCGCAGAAACGGAGCCAAAGGTCGCCCAACGATGCGCTGCAAGATCGCACGACTTCGGGGGCTGTCCGAAACCGAAACGCCTCGCGCGTATCCCACCGTAAAACAGCAAACGTGCGTGCATACCTCCAGTTGGTTTCCCAGGTTTTTGCTTTTGGAGCTGAATGCTTTTGTTTGGTCTTAACGGCCTGATGGCATGCGGGTTTACACTTGGATGTTGTCCAGGTGTGGACAACTTCGTCGCCACCAAGACTGTGGGACGCAACCGCCTCATCATTTGCTGCTCTTACCTCCTCTGCACATCGCCCCCCCTCACACACTCCTCCTCCTCATTCCCCTCCCCGTTCTCCTCCTCCTCCTCCTCCAGCTCCTCTCTCTCTCCTCTCCTCCCTCCTTTGATCCATTCGTCCTCCTTTCTTCTCCTCCGTCATGCCTCTCCCACGCCCCCCTTTCTGTAGGTGACTACGCGTACTACGGTTGGGGCTTGCGCATTGACGACTCCGTCGGCGACGTCGGCGAGAACGTCACAGAAGAGGACCGGCCTTTCAACCACTCGGGGCGATCTCGGTTGGTTCGCCGAGGTGGAGGCGGATCATGCGGGGATGAGAATGATGCGCATCGCGGCGCTGCGCGTCGCGAGCGTGCACACGCGTGGTGTGGCACAGCGACGTACCTTTGGCCATGTGGACGGGTGGCTTAGTCGGAGGATGATGCGACACGCGAGGATGGATAGAGTGAGGGAGGAGGGAGTACAGCTGGTACGAGGGTTACAAGCAACCCTATCTATGTATATGGTACCCTTGCGATCTTCTTGTTTGAGCTCCACACCTTGGAATGATCTTCCCGTGGGGTGTCTCTATGGGGCGTTGGGCCCTCTTAGAAGGGGCCCACGTTCTTTGACCCCCCTGGTGGGTATGCAAAACGGGAAGGAGGAGTCCCAAGCGATGTGTCAGGAGTCAGGAGTTGGCCTGCCTCCGGGGGGGCGGGCGCCACACGCCGCGCGGGCGCGGACCCATCAGAAGCAGCATTCTGGAAGCCGTTGTCCTTGTCCTGATCTCTTCCTGTCCGGAGGCGCGGCGAGGGGGGTGGAACAGGCCAGGAGGGACGCGGAGCACGGAGGACGGAGCAGACCTCTGTTCTGTCTGTTCACCAATTACGCAGGGCTCGCTGAGCCTGCTGGTGACCCCGTTAGCTGGCGCAGCCATGCGAGGCACGGGACGGGACAGCATTGCGAGGTCTCCGAACAAGGTGTGGACAGCAAAGCGAGGTCTCCTCTTCCATTTCATGATTCTCGTCCTGTTCATCCTAATCCTCATCTCCCGATCCTCATCATCATCCACATCTTTCTTGGAGAGGGAGGAGGAAGAAAACGTTGAGCGATGAGGAGTAGGATCGTTGGAGGAGGAGGAGAATGAGGGAGGAGGGAGCGGAGAGCCATAGTCAGTCCAGGACGCATAACAAATGCCGCAATAGACCTGAACGTCCCAAGTCCACTCCTCATCTTTCCCTGTAAGCTTTCTTTCTGACTACGGGAAGCTCCGCCCTTGAACTATGGGCCCGCCATGGACTTGTTATTCATGCGAGATCGCACTTTCGAACCAGCACCGCCCTCCATCCTTCTACCCGTAATCTTTGCCGAGAGATCGGATTATAAAGTCCAGGGCAATTTTAGAGAGAGAGAGCCCCATTATCATGTTGATTATGCTTCCCGAAGAGGCAGGAAGGAACATGTACGTATTGAATGTGAGCCGCCCTCCGTCCATGTAGTTTGAACTTGCTTTGCCTTCAATATGTGTGACTGTCTGGAGGGCCACGCATTGAAGGCGACGTGGCGGATCGGCGGGTTTGCGCCAAGCTCTTTCCTGGCCCTCGTATTTGGACCACCCCAGACCTCATGAAGCAGCTCCGAAGCCCTGGATTCCCAAGCGAGCTGACGGACATCCAGTGCGTGACGGTTGTGGCGCAGGCACGCGTTTTCGCCAGCTCAAAACGTTGAGGCACCCCGGAAGAGGTCCGGGGTGTAGCGGTATCCGTACCGCTTAGTTCCCCCTTTGGTAAGGTTGTGCGCGGAGCTGAAGCGAGAACACACTTTGAAAACGGTCTGGCCTCCATCCATGCAGCCGTTGGAAATTTCAAGCGTCAGGGTCATGATTGATGACGAGGTCTCACGCGGAAAGGCCAGACCGCCCTGCCAACCCGTCTTCGGTGCGACGAGGAGGGGTCATTTCTAAAGAAGGTGGATGGATGATGATCGAGGTTGTTGAGCGTGTTCGGCTCTTCAGAAGCTTTTCTCATACCTCTGGAGGCCTGCGGGAGCCTGCGAAGACTTCGGGGACTTCGGGGGGTCTCCAGCGATCCCTGCATATTTCAAGCCCTTTAGGGGTCAAACCCACTTAGGCTCACGTCCTTGAGGTGAAACACCCCTTAGAATGCAAGGCGCACAGCCTCCCAGGACGTGGCAACGGAGGCGCAGTCGGGCAGAACAGTGGACGGCAGCACTGCTGCAATTGCTCCGCGAAGGGGTTCGGCTTGGGGCGAGGCCTTTCCCGGGCCGCCAGGCTGCGGCCCTGGGCGCCGGAGAGGTGGGTCGAAGCTTGAGCCCAGCGCCATCTCTGTTGGAAGGCGAATGCGCGCGGCGCTAAGGCGAGAGCCACATTTTGGAAGCGCCCCGCCATCGATTTGTGAAAGTGTTGCCAGTTTCTAAAAGCTTCAGGCCTGGCCCGCCCTTCCGACCGGCCTCGGGGTGCGACAGGGAGGAGTCATTCATAAGGGAAAGGAATGGAGGAGGGAGCAGATTGTAAGGAGAACGAGGAGGAGGAATCCCCTTCCCCCGCGGGCTGTTTTCCCATGCCGGGCGAGCATTTGGAGGCTCAAAGCGGTCGCCCCCGGGGGCCGAAGGTGGGGAAATGCGCCCTGGATTGAAAGCAAGTCGCTCTCCCCCCCAGGGCTGATGAAGTCAGGAGGACAAATAAGACACGGACGCAAGTAATCGTCGAGACCCAGGAAAGTATAGGAACATGGGGGAAGACGAACATCCAGGAAATGTGAGAGACTATACTTAGGGGCATCCTGCGACGTGTGTGTGTGTGTGTGTGTGTGTGTGTGTGTGTGTGTGTGTGTGTGTGTGTGCGTGCGTGCGTGCGTGTGTGTGTGTGTGTGTGTGTGTGTGGGTGGGGGGGGGGAAAGGGGGGGGGGTCCCTGGGCCCCTTCAGGAAGATCCCCCCTCCCCCCCTGCTCGCCCTCCCTCGTCGCCGCCCGCGCCCCCGCTCGCCCCCCGAGGAGGCGCTGGCGGAGGCCGTGGAGGCGCCCCGCCTGGTCCGCCAGGAGCGGGCGCCTCCCTCCCATCGGGCGACGAGGGCCGTGCACGTCCACCGCAGCTGGCTGGGGGATGATCCCGCTTACGGCAGGTTCGCGTCGTGTCGAGGAGGAGGAGGAGGAGGAGGAGGAGGAGGGATGTGCTTACGGCAGGTTCGCGTCGTGTCGACTGGCGGCGACCCCGCCGCTGGCGTTCCACGTGGAGTGCGGCTAGCGACCCAGAATCGATCGATGCGTAACGATCTGATTTCGCGGGAGCGGCTGATCGTTCCAGTTCGAACGATCCCCGCGGTGTCAGGCACCGACGCCGAAGTCGGCACGACACGAACCTGCCGTAGGGGGCTTCAGACCCTGGGTGGTACCTTATCTGGTGCGGGCGGCGGTGATATCCGTGGCCAATCCGCGATCGGAGTGCCGCTGGCTTCCGGACCGTGCTCTTCGGCGATCCGTGGCAGTCCTTGGCACTCTTCGGCAATCCTCGGCGCTCCGCGGCACTCCTCGGCAATCCTCGGGAGCCCTCCGCACTCCTCGGCACTCCTCGGCAGTCGCCGCAACTCCTTCGCGCTCCTCGGCACGCTTTACACTCGTCGGCACTCCTCGGCAGTCCTCCAGTCGTCGGCACGCCTCGGCACTCGTTGGCACTCCTCGGCTCCTCGGCAGTCCTCCCCTGGAAATGCAGGGCTGGGCGGAGGCCGACTCGGCCCACGGGCCGCGAAGTGAGCTCTGCACACTTGGGGGGCGAGGGGCGGGCAGGATGTGCCTCTTCCAGAGGGCCGATGTGCGCGGCACGAACGAACGAACGAGAAGCCTAGCGCCAGACGGCGCGCGAGCAAGGTGAAGCAGGGCGCCGCGATGTCGAATTGCGGTGCTACCCGGTGTTCGGGCACCAAGGTCTCACTGCCGACTCCCACGATGCTGCCGCCCCACCTGACGGGTGAAAGTACGCAGACAGCGCGTCGTGGGAACCAGCGACTTCAAGAGAGTTTCGGAAAACCATGCTTCCCAACGCTTGCCTGGGGCGCCCTCGTCGCCGATGTCCGGACGGGGGCCGAATATTTATACTACTGGCTGAAAAACAGATTGCCGGACAGGGTCACTGTCGGAGCGTCGCGCCAGTTGGCCCATGAAGAGCATTTGCCTCTCGATGACGGTTTCGCTGATAGGCCTCCGGCCTGCCATTGCCAAGACGGTTGCGTTTGACATTCTGCTGTAATATGCCGGCGGGATTCCTAAGATTTTCCGCAGGCAACGTTATTGGAAGTTCTCTAGCCTCCTCCGCCCCGTCTTGTTGAGACAGGCGGCAAACATGCTGTATAATATTCTGGACACCACACACGATTCGAAGATCTTGATGTTCTTCCTCCGAGAAAGAGAAGAATGAGACCATATCGAAAACAGAGTCTTGAAATCTTTGCCCGCTGCGCCAATCCTGTTGCTCAATTCCGTTCCGCTCCTTCCGTCGGCGGACAGACGGGTACCGAGATACACAAGAGAATCTTTGCAAGGCCGAAACCATGAGGGGCGAAAATGCGCGTACAGCTTCAGAACACCCATGTGTCAGTATCGCTTAACCGATCCCTATCGCCATCCCCATCCACATCTCGACCCCCACCGTCTCACCACTTCAGTTGGGGATATGCCCCTCGCAACCCGAAGAGAGCAGCCAATGATCCCATCCCGGGTGTAAATCGGCCATTGGGGCCCAGCCCACGCTGGTGGGGATGGGGACTGGTTAAACGATACTCAATATGGGGGCACGGGCGACGAAACGAGGGCAAATGTGCGTACACATCGTTCATTTCTAATTCTTCGAAGGCTCTTTGATTTTCTGGGGGCCAAGATCCTTTCATTTCTCATCGTTCTATCCTGGGCATCTTCCTGGCCACTAGGGGGCCAGGAACAATTAGAAACGAGCACAATTAGAAATGAGCACAATTAGAAATGAACGACGTGTAGACCGTCCAGAGTCTGATTCGATCTACGATGAACGTACGGTCGACTATGTGCCCCTTCTTATCTGGCTGGGCGAGCAGGTGGGTGGTCCGCCGACCCCGAGGCAACATTTCATAGCGAAGATTGACAGCACCGTCGTGCGCAGCAATCTCACGCACTCCTCGCACTAGAACTCACAGATTGACAACAAGCGCTGCGCACAGCAATCGCGTGAACTTCACCATTACACCCGCATCAGATACATGGCAGTTTTTAGCACACGCCCGGTATTTCCGCAAACGTATGGCGGAATCAGCGACGGCAAAGTAGGGCGGATATCGACGCCAAAGGAGCCTGAGAAGTAGAGCGGGACGTTCCGCCCTACTTACGAAATCACCAAGGCGGCACGGGCGGCCCCGCGGGAAGGGTCAGGGATGCCCAGAGATCAGGGCACAGCAGATTTTTTCACGCTGGGCGTTTTCGCTAGGTGTCGGGCCCGGGGACCATCACAGGTCGATCCGGCCCGAGTAGTGCAACAGAAACACGGGATCCAGAGCTTTGGTCGCGATTTTTCGTGATGCCCCAGCCCCAAAAGGCCCATTGGAGGCGAGGAGGCGAGAAGCAGCAACACGTTGAGCAACATCACGTACGTCTTTGAGCGAGGCTTTGCCTTCCGAGGGTGAGACTAGGACGCTGACACAAGGTTCACCGTGGATTCACGGGGAGTTCTGGCTCTCGGGCCGCTCCTTACATGTGGGTCGGCGAACTTGTTTGTGGCCGAGGCTCGCCGTGGCCATGACAAACGCCCGCCGTTTGCATGTTAGCACCATGCCTGCACGGCAGGTTCGCGTCGTGTCGACGCGGCGGCGACCACGCCGCGGGCGTTCCAGGCTGAACCTCGACGCGCGCGTTCAGGATTCAAGACTCGGCCAACATAGAAGAATCTAGCGGTAGAGCAACCATCGATCGTTCAAGGTTCAAGGTTGAACGATGCACGCGTGTGTCAGGAACCAACGCCGGGGACGTAACGACACAAATCTGCCGTATGTGCACGCCGCCCGCGAAGTGACGACGACGACGACGATGACGACGACGACGACGACGACGACGACGACGACGACGACGACGACGACGGCGACGGCGACGACGACCACCACCACCACCACCACCACCACCACCACCACCTCACCACCACCACCGCCGCCGCCGCCGCCAACGCCACCACCATCACCACCACCGCCACAGCCACCTGTATAGGTATGTCTGTATTCGTGCATGTGTATATGTATGTGTATGTATATATATATATATATATATATATATGTATATATAGACATATATATATATATATATATATCGTAGCTAAACGCAATGGACTCATACATGGCGATGGGCAGGTGGGCCACGGGCCGATCCTGGACCAGAATGCGCAAGCAGAACGGCGACAAAGCAGAATGAACAAAACGTCGATCTTCAAAACGGAGGAAAAAGCCAGATCGTTAGTAGAGGAGGTTTTTTGACGGTTTTGGCATTTTGCGGGGAGTTTGGGTTGGTTCGGGGTTCGGGGGGGGGGCGTCTCGTCTCTTCGGGGACGCGGCGACTCAGTGGTGACACTTCATGGCGTTGCTTTTGCAGGGGGGGGGGGGGGCGTACCTCCGCGTCGCGAACAGAATCACAGCGTAATGTTTTTTTGGCTATTTCCGGCGGGGCCCTAACTGGGCATCATCAGCGGCACCGTAATGGACACTCACTAACGGGCACTTTAGTTGCCGAAAGTTGCCATTCCAGGGCCTCTTTCCGGCACTGCAGCGTTTCCCACACCGGGGAGGGCTGGGCGGAGGGGGAGGGAGATGACAAACCATGACATGAAGGTCCGCGCGGATTGCTCCGATCGGTGCTGGAGCCCCCTCACACGCGCGGAGCGCGCCAGGGACGGCGCCAGAGGTGCCGGCAGGCCGTTCCAGCGCCGATCCGAGAAATCCGCCCCCTCCTCCTCCTCCTCCTCCTCCTCCTCCTCCTCCTCCTCCTCCTCCTCCTCCTCCTCCTCCTCCTCCTTTCCTTTTCCTTACAAATAATTTCTCCCTGTCGCACCCCGAGGCCAGTTTTGAGGGCGGGCCGGGCGTTCCGCCTGAGACTTCCTCACCATGTACGACTCTGCAGTTTCAAAAGTGGCAACAGGTCCACAGCTGGAGGGCGGATGGTTTTCAAAATGTGGCTCTCGCCTTAGCGCCGCGCACATGTTTTTAAACATGTGCAAAAGCTTCACGGATTGAGGGCGGTTCCTTTTCAAAATGTGGCTCTCGCCTTTATCGCCGCGCATATTCGTTTGGAAAAGTTGCATGTGTTTCGCGGGTTCAGGGCGGGTCGTTTTCAAAATGTGGCTCTCGCCTTAGCGCCGCGCACATTTGTTTTAGACATTTGTCGGAGTTTCACAGATTGAGGGCGGTTCTTTTTCAAAATGTGGCTCTTGCCTTATCGCCGAAAACATTCGTTTGCACGAGCTTCACGGATTGAGGGTGGGTCGTTTTCAAAATGTGGTTCTCGCCGTAGCGCCGCGCATATTCGTTTGGAAAAGTTGCAAGTTTTTCGCGGATTGAGGGCGGGCCGTTTTCAAAATGTGGTTCTCGCCGTAGCGCCGCGCACATGGTTTTCAACATTTGCAGGAGTTTCACGGATTGCGGGTGGTTCATTTTCAACATGTGGTTTTCGCGTTATCGCCGCGCACGTTCATTTGCGCGAGCTTCCCGGATTGAGGGCGGGTGGTTTTCAAAATGTGGTTCTCGCCTTACCGCCGCGCACATTCGATTGCGCAAATTGCAAACAATTCACGGCTTGAGGACGGGTGGTTTTCAAAATGTGGTTCTCGCCTTAGCGCCGCGCACATTTGTTTTAGACATTTGTCGGAGTTTCACAGATTGAGGGCGGTTCTTTTTCAAAATGTGGCTCTTGCCTTATCGCCGAAAACATTCGTTTGCACGAGCTTCACGGATTGAGGGTGGGTCGTTTTCAAAATGTGGTTCTCGCCGTAGCGCCGCGCATATTCGTTTGGAAAAGTTGCAAGTTTTTCGCGGATTGAG